GTTCCTTTGCCTTTGGTCTTACAGACTCCACTGTTTCCAAAATTACTTAGGGCAGCACTTTCCCCCACCCCCTTCACGGAAGTTGTTTCATCCGTTTGTTATAGGGTTGAATTCATATGTCACCTTTTGCATTCGTCCTGGGATCCTAAATAACTTTTAAAATTTGCATACACTAAGATGTATTCTTTGTGCTGTAAGTTTTGACAAATGCATGGCATCCTGTAGCCACTATTACAATATCCTACGGAATTGTTTCATTGCCTTAAAAAGAATCCCGTGCTTCACCTCCAGCCTCCTCCCACCCACAGTCCCTGGCAACCACCCGTCTGTTCACCATTTTCCATAATGCCATATAGTTGGAGTCCTACAACATGTAGCCTTTTCAGCTGGCTTCTTTTCACTTAGAAAAATGCATTTAAGATCCATCCATGCTTTTGCCTGGCTTTATAGCTCATTCCTTTTTATTATGGGATGGTATTCCATCGTATGGCTATGCCGTGGTTTATTTATCCATTCACCTATTGAAGGACATTTTGGTTGCGTCCTGTTTCTGGTGATGATGAAGAAAGCTGCTGCAAACATCTATGTGATGACTTTCGTGTGGGTGTGTTTTCGGATCAGCTGAGTATACACCTAGGAGGGTGATTGCCAGGTCCTGTGATAAGATGTGTTTCGCTGTGTAAGAAACTGACAGGCTAGCTTCCAGAGCAGCTGGACCATCTTGCACTCCCACCAGCAGTAAACGGGAGCTGCTGTCCTCCTCAACCTCCCCAGCAAGTGGCAGCGTCAGTTTGTTTCATTTTAGCCAGTCTAGTCTGCGTGTTGTGGTATCTCACTGTTGTTTTAATTTGGGACAGCCTCTTTTTGATTCTTGTGTCCTTGATACTAAACATAGTAGTGATAAACACTTTATTTTTTTATTATGCTGTAACAATGAGCAAGTGAAATAACTTTGTCAAGTTACCAAAGGATTTGAGTGTACACCAGATTCCTAGACTTCTCTTGGAGAGTAATGCTTCTAGGCCCTGACAACATGTTTCCCACACATAGGCATCTGTTGTGTTTGCTATTAGGTGAGGTACCCCATTTCCAAGGGCTTTTCAATCACAGGGGATGATTTGCGCCTTCCTCCTGTAGCCAGCATCTCGGGCATCCAGAACACCCATTGCACAAGCATCCAAGTCAGTGTTTTACTCTTTCTTTAAGATCTGAGTTGAAGATCAAATCCTGTGCACCCATCCTGCTCTGTTCAGACCTATGCAGGGGTTGGCAGTTCTTAGAGAACCTTGAGGCAGAGTATGACTAAGTTACGGAACAAAGCAAATCATCAGCAGTTTCCACCTTGGAGCCGGAGTTCTAGAGCAGGGCCCCTGGCTGGTATACAGGGAATGGGTTACAAGTGGCAATGACTGTGTTCCCCTTGGCCTTCGGGGTGGAGACTGAGGGCCCAGGCCTTGGACCGGTCACACCGCATGCCATAGAAATAACATCCTTTTCTGGGAGTGCCACGCTCAGGGAGCTGGGGGGTACTGCCCTAGCGTCCAGGGGCTCAGAGCCAGGTTTTTGATGCATCTCTAGTTTTTCACTCCATCTTTCCATGGCATGCATGGTTTTTCTTTTCTTTCTTTCTTTTTTTTTTTTTTGTATTGTGGTAAAATACACATAACATTTACCATCTTAACCATTTTTAAGTGACAGCTCAGTGGTGTTAAGTGCATTCACACTGTTGTGCAGCTGTCACCACCGTCCATCCCCAGAACTTTTCATCTTATAAAATGGAAACTATACCTAATTAAACACTAACTCCCCCTTCCCCCTCCCCCCAGCCCTTAGCAACCACCAGGTTACTTTCTGTCTCTGTGCATTGGAACCATAGGTGTCTGTCTCTCTGTGGCTGGCTTGTTTCACTGAACGTAAGGTCCTCAAGGTTTATCCATGTTGTGGTAGGTGTCAGAATGTTCCCCCCCCCTTTTTTTTAAGATTTTATTTATTTAACAGAGAGACACAGCGAGAGAGGGAACACAAGCAGGGGGAGTGGGAGAGGGACAGGCAGGCTTCCTGTGGAGCAGGGAGCCCGATGTGGGACTCGATCCCAGGACCCTGAGATCATGACCTGAGCCGAAGGCAGATGCCCAATGACTGAGCCACCCAGGCGCCCAAAATGTCCTTCCTTTGTAATGCTGAGTCATATTGCGCTGTGTGCACAGACTACGCTTTGCTTATCCATTCAGTGTGCTCACCTCACCCCCGTCTCTACCTCGTTTTCCTTTTGCCTCAGTTTCCTTGTGCACTTCTGCAGGCACAGTTTGGCAGAGGCCCAGAGAGTCAGTCCACGTCAGAGTCCTGATTCTTAGTGATTATGAAACCTTGAGTAACAAGTTACATAACCTCTGTGAACTGAACTCCATTCCTCATCTGTAAAATGGATCTGTAGTAGTGGTACTTGTCTCTTAGACTTCTCTTTTTAAGTAATCTCCACACCCAACGTGGGGCTTGAACTCACAAACCTGTGATCAAGAGTTGCACACTCCACTGACTGAGCCATCCAGGCGGCCCTATCTCATAGATTTCTGTTAGAGTGAAACAAGGTGGTATATGGAAAGACTTAGCATGTGCCTGGCACATAAGAGGGTTTTGTTGTTGTTTTTTGTTTTTTTTTTTTTAAGATTTTATTCATTCATTTGAGAGAGAGAGAGCACAAACGGGGAGAGGGAGAAGCAGACTCCCTGCTGAGCTGGGAGCCCAATTCGGTGCTCGATCCCAGGACCTGGAGATCATGACCTGAGCTGAAGGCAGATGCTTAACCATCTGAGCCACCCAGGCGCCCCCACATAAGAGGTTTTCTACAAATATTAGTTATTAAAACATGCTTGGGGCACCTGGCTGGCTCAGTCGGTTGAGTGTTTGACTCTTGGTTTTGGCTCAGGTCATGATCTCAGGGTTGTGAGACTGAGTCCCATGTCGGGCTCCCCGCTCAGTGCAGAGTCTGCTTGAGATTCTTTCTCTGCCCCTTCCCCGCCTCTAAAATAAATAAACCTTAAAAAATAAAACACGCTCGGGGCGCCTGGGTGGCTCAGTCGTTAGGCGTCTGCCTTTGGCTCAGGTCATGATCCCAGGGTCCTGGGATCGAGCCCCGCATCGGGCTCCCTGCTCAGCGGGAAGCCTGCTTCTCCCTCTCCCATTCCCCCTGCTTGTGTTCCCTCTCTCGCTGTGTCTGTCTCTGTCAAATAAATGAATAAAATCTTTAAAAAAATAAATAAATAAAAATAAAACATGCTCAGTGTTGGTAGTTTTGAAACTTCTCTTTCCTTTTGGCATGAGGTTGAGGAGAAGGAGGAATATTGTAAAGTAATGAAACTAAATCTGAGAGATGGTTTCCAGCCATTGCCATGAGTGTTCTTTAGTGGCCCACCCTGGGGTGTGAGGGTGATTGTAGACTGTGTTGTGCCCTGGGCACTCCAGGCCCCCCACCTTGAAGCTGTCTGACCCTGTGACGACAGCAGTAGTAAAGCTCTGGGTCCCTGTGGGCTCTGGGGGTGCTGGAGCAAGTTCCTGCACATCTGCAGGGAGGAGGCCTGTTGGTGGGCCTAGGGAGCCCACAGTGCCTGCAAGGGGCTGGAGGACAGGGCTGCCTCTGTGGGCTCTGGCTCTCCTGTTCCAACTCTCGCCCACTGCCCTGCTCCCAAGGAGAGGGGAGGAGGAAGTGGAGGGGGAGCTGGGAACAAGTTGTCTTTCTGCTCAGCTTTTGGCCAGCTCAGCTGCACTGTGGGTACCGACAGTCATGCCGGGGAAACATTGGAATTCAGAGCTGCACGTAGAGTGTCAACAGAGAAGGTTTCTGGGTCTGTGGGAAGAGCTGGGAAGCTGGCATATTTGTTGTGGGCAGGGCCCTCTGCTACAGAGTTTTTGAATCCTTTTGCAAACTGTCGTGAGAGCTTGAGACTTGGGCAGGAGTGTTGCTGGCCTAATGTTAATTGTTAAAGGGCTGGCTGGGGACATGGCCCTGCCATGGTGACAGTGATATACATGGGTGGGGGGCAGCATCTAAAAAGCAGTGAGGAGGGGTGGCGCCTGAGTGGCTTAGTCCATTAAGCGTCTGCCTTCAGCTCAGGTCATGATCCTAGGGTCCTGGGATCGAGTCTTGCATTGGGCTCCCTGCTCAGCGGGGAGTTTGCTTCTCTCTGCTGCTGTCCCTAATTGTATGCTTGCTCTCTCGCTCTCTCTGTCAAATAAATGTTAAAAAAAATAAAAAGCAGTGAGGCCCAATTGATGGGGTGTTGGGCTCCCTTTATGGATGCTGTCGGACCTTCTTCACAAAGATGAGATTCAGCTGCCAGCAGTGGTAGATCAGTTCTGTGACCCACCCTTTATATCTGGGAGGTGGCACGAGGGGCCGATGGACGTGAGGACCTCCTCTGGCTCCTCATACTGTGTGGGCGCTACAGCTGACCCTTAGCGTGGCTTTGAGCTGCGTGGGTCTGCATACATGTGGGGGTTTTACAGTACAGCACTGTGAATGTATTTTCCTGATTTTCTTAATAACATTTTCTTCTGTCTAGCTTTTTTTCAAGTGTACTTTATTGTAGGAAGGCACTATGCAATACATATTACATACAAAATGTGTTAAAGGACTGTTTATGTAATGGGTAAGGCTTCTGGTCAACAGTAGGCTATTAGTAGTTCCATTTTGGGGGAGTCAGGAGTTAGGAAGGGGCGCCGAGGTGGCTCAGTTGGTTAAGCATCCAACTTGATCTCAGCTCAGGTCTTGATCTCAGGATCATGAGTTCAAGCCACGTTGGGCATGGAGCCTACTTTAAAAAAAAAAAAAAAATTTATACGTGGATTTTTGACCACGTGGGGAGTTGGTGCCCCTAACCTCTGCACTGTTCAAGGGCAAACTGTAGTTCATAATCTCTCCTCAGTGCTCCTCCATTTTTAAAGTGTCCCTTGGTTCTCTGGGTGAATTTGTATGTCTCTAATCAGATGTCATGTGATTGCAGGATCCAGTCAGTCCCAGGAGCAGCCATCCAGTAGCTCTGAGGAAGCATCTGGAACAGAGGAGGAGGAGGAGCAGCCCAGCTTCATCACGGGGCGATGACAGTGTTTGCTGTAGTGGGCTGTCTGGAGCCTGGCCCATTCTGTGACCAGGGCCTCAGAAAACCCTCCACACAACCCGAGGGAAAAGGAGGCTCTGTTTCAACTCAGTTCCCCTCCCAGCACTTTGCTAGAGGGAAGCAAGTGGGAACCCATCTTGACCGTTGACGACCCCGCCTGTGGGCAGGCCTCCATGCCTGTGGGACAGAGAGGACCGGCTCCTGGACCCCTGGGGCACCGCCGAGCAGAGTTCATTCAGGTTCCCACTGATAGTGAACACGTATTACCTTCTGCCCCTGGTGCCTGTTCTTCTGTTTGGACAGTGATGAGTTTGGACTGGTTTCTGTGAAAGAAATGTTTATTTAGTAAAGAACAGAAACTTTAGGTTTTGTTCAGACCTGTGTAATGTTGTTCCAAAGCTGTAGGGAAGGCTGGGAAGCAATGTGACAGGAGTGGGCCTGTTTCCAGGCTTGCTGAAGGAAATGACCCTGGCTCTGGGGCCAGCCCGCACTGCATGATGCAGGACCCCCACTTCCTCCCACTGAGGGGCAGACTGTACCCCATGATACATGCTGCCGCCCAGCAGCTCCCAGTCCCCAAGTGTGAATTGAGAAGCCCCCAGCATGTGCACAGGGAGATGTGGGGCTCAGCCAGGAAGCCGAGTCATAGGAAGGGCAACTTGGGGTGTGAAGAAAGCTTTCAGAAAAATAAGCAGAGAATCCCAGCTCTTCTGGACCAGAGCAGAGTGTGGGGAGTCCTGGCCCAACCCGAAGGGAGGGAGTGAATTGGCCAAAAGTCGCATTTTCGACCTGCAGTAGGGGGATCTGAACCAGGTGCGAGGTGAGCCGGGGCGGTCTCTCTGGCCAGCGGGAGGGACAGAGATGGTTTGAATTGGAGCCTTTGCTCACTTTGGGGGCTGTTTATCTCCAGTTCCAAGTGTCTAGTGCATTTTGTGCCTTTTATGGAGTTTGATAGAATTAAGGGAATAGTGGTTTTGAGCGAAGGGAAACTAAGAAGCATTTTACTTGTTTCTCATTTTTGCAGTATGGATTTTCCTGGTCCCCACCCTGGGCCAGGCGACATCTGTGATCACTTCTGTTCTTTAAACAATTCAAGCCACAGGAATTTTTCTTTCCCAGGAAACTGAAATGGAAAATTCAGCCCTAATAAATGAGCACACCCGTGGCTGTACATTTTGGAACCTGTGTTTCTCTCGTCAGGGACTGGCTGGTTAGTTTTGTGTTTATTTTTTGTTCTACTATCTTTGTACTGTTGGTTTCCTAATCTCCCCACAAGATGTGTGTCACAACTCTTGCTTTGAATCTGCAGCCTGCATCTTGTGGGTGTTCTCTTGCCCTGGAGGCTGTCGACAGTGCTAGAACTTGGGAGTCTGAAGACCTAGGTATTCCAGTTCTTTTTTTAAAATTTTATTTGAGTGAAAGAACACAAATGCCAGAGGGAGAGGGACAAGCAGACTCCCCACTGAGCACAGATCCCAAAGTGGGGCCCAGTCCCAGGACCCCTGAGATCATGACCTGAGCCGAAGTCCGACACTTCACCGACTGAACCACCCAGGTGCCCCCTGGGTATCCAGTTCTGACGCTGCCTCTGGTGCATCTGGCCAAGAGCTTATTAATGACGCCAAGCAGAAGTGTGTTGGATGGGGGAGCGAATGCTGGAACAGATAACAGGATGCCAGGCTGGAGGTTTATATTCTACACGTTTACTAGGTTTTCAGAAGAGGATGTTTGGGTAGGAAATGTCTAGCAATTTCTGGCAATTTTTAAGGGGCTGCCAATACCTTAGGTTGAATGACGGTCTTCAGGGTATTGTTTGAGAAAAGGGAACAGTTAGGTGTCATCATTGAGAAGGGAGTGGGAGATACAGAGAGACCCCCCTCCCCCCCCAAAAAAAAGCCATGATGGGGAGAAAATCATTCAGTAATGCCCTTGTTAATTGGCTTGTGGGTGGGGAAAATCAGGACTTGATCCACAAAGGTGTGCATAACTTGGTTGTCTCAGGAAGCCTCACGTATAAGAATTCTGATTTACTTCATTCAGTTACTCGCTCCCCACACTTCTATTGAGCACTCCATGAGACAGCCCTGTGTTAGCCAAAGTTACTTGTATTAGAATACTCTGTCCTTCAATTAGATGTCCCTTACAGGTTTACCAAACAAGATTTATAAACACAGAGAGGTCTGGAAACTTGCCCGGGTCACCCAGCAAGTAAGTGGTAGAGCTGGGATTTGAACCCCAGCAGTGTGACTCCCAGAATCCACCAATCCCTGCCCCATAGTGCTGTGCTGCTCCGTGGAGAAGCTGTGTGTGACCCAGACCCGCTGGGAGGGAGGCCCGGTGCGGCTCTCTCCGTGCCAGAGCTGTAGGCTGAAGGCTGCTCCTTCAGTAAGCTCCTGGTGCGTGTGCATGCGTGCACATATAATAAGGCATATAATAGTTTTAAATATAGTTGCCCCTTATTGTTCACAAGTTCTATGTTCATGAATCCACCTGTTCACTAACACTTGTAACCCCAAGATGAGTACTTATGGTGCTTTTGTGGTCATTTGCAGACATGCACAGACTGGTGAAAAATTCAAGTTGCCTAATGCAGTGTTTCCAGCTGAGTTCAAACAAGGCAGTGCTCTGCCTTCCTGTCCAGCTCAAACGTGTCCATTTAATGGCAGGTTTTTTGCATTTTTTGCTTTTCCTTGATGATTTTGCCATTTTTTAAATGGCCCTGAAGCATAGTACTCGAAGTACTGTCTAGTGTCCTAAATACAAGAAGGCCGGATGTGCCTTAGATAAGCTTTGTTCAGGCATGAGTTACAGTGCCCTTGGCTGCAACTTCGTCTTTAATGAATCAATACATATTAATGCAAGTATTTTTAAATTTTTATTTCTGAAGGTTTTATTTTAAGTAATCTCTACACCCAACATAGGGCTTGAACTCATAACCCCTAGATCAAGGGTCACACACGCTCAGGGCGCCTGGGTGGCTCAGACAGTCGGTTAAGCTTCTGACTCTGGATTTCAGCTGAGGTCATGATCTCAGGGTTGTGGGATTGAGCCTCTGGCGCGGAGCCTGCTTGAGATTCTCCCTCTCCCTCTGCTGCCCCTCCCAATAAAATAGAATAAACTTAAAAAAAAAAAAAAAGTCACATGCTTCCCCAGCTGAACCAGCCAGGTGGTTGATGTGACGGGGGCGGGGTGGGGGGCTGTCACAGAAACACCCCTGTTTCCCCAGGCAGCAGTGGTTCAGTATTCACTAATCAACACTCAGTGTCCACAGTGACTTTAGGGAACATAACTACTATGAATAATGAGAACCAGTGCGTGTTTGGAGAGTGAGGGAACGTGCATGAGCAAGCCTGGCCTTCTGGAGAGCAGCGTTTCCTAAAGCAAGGATTGTGCCTCACTGCTGTATTCCTTGTGTGAACAGTACTTTATCTCACCTGGGGGATCAGGAGCTGAACTCTTCAGTCCCACTTTGAATGTAGGATCAGAGAAGTCACATGGAAGGGAACCAGCACTCCCCACCTATCCTTTACGTCTTCCCTACTGTGTTCATCTCCCACCATGTAAAAGGTGCTTTTCTAAAAGGTGTCCTTTCTCGGCCCTTCCCCACAGCAGGTAACCGTCTCCCAGAGCAGAGGGAAAGCAGAGATTCAGGCTGCGTCCTCATGCCCCACTTCATCCCCCGGCCCGGCTTGCCCTCCAGGTACAATGGAGGGCAACCAACCGCAAGCAGCTCCATGTGCAACAACAGCAAAGCCCCGGCTCCAGGCTCTCCTGCAGACCACCACCCCATTTATCTCCTCCCTTCTCAGCCCAGCTTCCAGAGAGTTCTCTGTTTGCTTCCACCTTTCCCAAGTTTTTCATCCCCATTATGCCACTGAAAGCCTTCAGTGATGCCACATCCAGCCCCTGGGGGCATCTGTATCATTTAGAAGCCAAAACCCCTAGCACCCCGACAGTACTGCCTCCTGCCTTTCTTTCCGCCTTTCCCTGGCTTCTCTGCTCAAATCCTAAATGTTAGGGTGACCCAGTGCACTGCCTTTTATGGTCAACACTCAGGCCCCAGGAGATCTTAATCTGACCCGTGGCTTTAAATACCACCCTGACTGCTGTCTTCTGAGTTTGTGGCTTCAGCTTCCCTTTGGAGCCTCCGCCTCAGGCTCGGTCGGTGCCCCACTCCCCTCACTCCTGCTCTGCTCCTTCCTGTGCCGTCAGGCCTCGGCTTTCCACCCACCCTGTTCTGTTTCCTTGTCTTCCTAGCATTCATCCCTTGTTTACTGGTCAGCAGCCCCCTGCCACACCAGCAGCCCTCACATCCCCCACTCAACTCTGAGCACAACCAGAGAGCGAGGACCTACCTGTCCTGTTCTTTGCTGTACCGCTAGTGCCAGCACAGGGCCTGGGGCATCACAGGTGCTCAGTGATGTCCCATGAGGTGACTGAGCAAATCTCAGTGCCTGAATGCAAGCAGGGAAGTTGTTCATACCTGAAAAACGGCCTCTGTGGCAGGAAGAGCCTGAGCAGGTGCACACAGTTGTGTGTGCTGGAGACGCAGATGTGATGCCCCAGGCAACAGTAGAGTCCACTTCAGACATCCAGAGTGCCTGACCCGGCCCAGAGGCCGACTCCTCACAGCTCAGGCATTTCAGACACCACCCCCCACCCCGCCCCCGCAGCTTCTGCCGCAGGTGCCCCCTTCCATACCTTCAGAAACACTGGTTTGGAACTTGTCGAGGACTGTTACTACTTCAAGTTTCCTTTCTTTTTTTCCGACATGTATCTTTTGGAAAAAGCCAGTTATTCAGTTGAGTTAGATGAGTAACGTTTTGTTGACTTTCGGAAATAGGAATATAACTCAGTCCGTCTCCAGGCTGCCTGGAAGGAGAGTGGAGAGAGCACCATTTCCTTTGGCAGTGTTTCTGGAAACAGGTGCGCCTTCTCCCCTGTGGAAGCTCATTTATGTCTACTGTTTGGCACATACTTGACTAAAGTGAGCTACACTTACCATATTTTAATATATTTCTGTAAAGAGAACATTGTGGGGCAGGTCCTGAGGCAGCTTTCAGTTTTCTTATTCCACAGAATATAGCAAATGTTTGTTGAACAGGACCAAAAGCTTAATCTGAAGGATTCCTAAGTGTACTTGGCTCAGCAGTGGGGATGATGGTGAGCGAGATGTAGGCCTTGGCTTGAAGGATCTCCAGATCTGATAAAGAGACACAGACAAGAGAAGAAAGGTCAGTGCGGTGGCGTGTACCACAGGGTGTCATGTGACCCAGGTCTCCGGGATGCGGGCAGGGCTGAACTGAGCTCCTAGGTAGCTCACAGCAGTTTTAAGAAAGCAAGCCGAGTAGAGATTAGTAGTAGATGCCCTGTCATGGCCTGAGTCACTAGGTTAAGGGGACTGGAGTTGATCTAAGGCCACAGGGGTAACTGAAGGGTTGGAGGGGGCTGGAGAGACAGGAATTTTTCCACTTCGCAGTGTGGAGATTAGATGGGAAGGGGACAGGTGGAAGGCTCCTGCAGGAATGCAGAGCAGAGGTGATGAGGGCCTGAATTAGTGTGAGACCAGTGGGACCAGGGAGAAACGGGAGAGTTCACAGGACTGGATGGGGATGGGAGGAATCAGAAATGACAGTAGATCTGTAATGTCACTAGCTGGGTGGCTGGTGGAACTCCTTGAGACAGGTGACCCAGGAGGTAGGGCAGGCAGGTGAGGAAAGAGGAGGAATTCAGCTGTAAGCAGGGGGGGGGCGGTGAGGGCGGGCCTTGGGTCACGCCCTGCCAGACTGGGGGTGACCTGGGCTGGAGGTGACCATTTGGAGTCAACAGGCTCCTTGAAACAAGGGGAGTGGGTGGGACCCATCAGGAGGGAAGTGGGAAAACACCCACATCTAGGGGACAGACAGAGGGGGAGCCTGCACAGGTTAAAAAAAGAGGTGAGAACGGGGCGCCTGGGTGGCTCAGTCGTTAAGCATCTGCCTTCAGCCCAGGTCATGATCCCAGGGTCTTGGGATCGAGCCCCACATCGGGCTCCTTGCTCGGCAGGAAGCCTGCTTCTCCCTCCCGCACTTCCCCTGCTTGTGTTCCCTCTCTCGCTGTGTCTCTGTCAAATAAATAAATAAAAAAATCTTAAAAAAAAAAAAAGGTGAGGGCACCAGAACAAGGAGAGAGTTGTTTCTAGAAGGGAGGAAGGCACGGCTGAAATCTGTCCTGGCGTTCGCATCACAGTGGCAGTGGGCTGCAGAGGGCCGGGAAGGAAGTTGTGATGACAGCTCTCTTGAGAAGTGTGGCGAGAAGTGGGGGAAGGTGGTAGCAGGAGAGGTCAGAGGGGTCAGGCTGAGTGGGAAGGGAGGGGGGCGGGGAGCTGGTATCAGCACAGGCTGGGAAGCAGGGTGGTACAGGCTGAGAACTGGGTGAGAAAGGGTCAGGAAGTGGGAGGTGCAAACTTAAGATCTAAAGGGTAGTGACAAGGCCTAGCCATGGGAGTCAATGGCCAAGGGGACAGAACTGTCAGGGGACTGGATACATTGTCCAGAGCAGCTGAGCGGCCATCCAGATGAGAAGACCCAGGGAAGAGGAAAGCAGGGGCCGCGGTCCTCATGGAATGAGGGTGTGCATTGATGGGGAAGACCAGAATGTGATCAGCCCCTGGGATGTGCCTCGGAGACTTGGTCTTTTTCAAGCTGAGACCCGAGGAGAAGGAGCAACTTGCCGTGGCCAAACTACTCGGGAAAATCACAGCCCAGACTCTCCCCTGGACGGGCCAGCTGCGTGGCTGGCACCCATGGGCCTTGCCCTGACCCTCCTCTGGGTAGCTGTGCACCTGAGGGGCCCTCCAACTATTAGTATTCTAACTGTTCCTCTCTGTTCAGCATCTGTTCAGCATGGTGCTGGCACCTTCCTTAATCTTCCAGGGGCCGGGGAGAAAGCCATTTTCTGTGTTTGGTTGGGAAACCGGCTTGGAAAAGCACTGGTGGTGATGACTTAGGTTTTGCTTCTGTCTGGGCATGCTGGGTAGGTGTGCTAGGGGGTGGGAGCACCATCACTGGCTTTCTAAAGGATGTGCAGTCAGACTCCAAAGGTGAAAATTTAAGCAAGTGACTTTTGTGGAAAGAATGGTCATCTATGATGCAATGACTCTAGTTTACAAAGTGTTTCTTCTTCCTGTTTTCCAGATCATTTTACAAAGAGCTGTTGGTTTTTGAGGGTTCTGCCCCCTGAAATTCAAATGATCCCTTCCTATAGCCGTCTGTAATGTGTGTGCATGTGTGTTGGGTGGAGGGTCAGTAATCAGACCTTGGGATTTTCCTAGGCTGTGGTCTGTTTTTAAGTGTCTTCCTGAATTTAAAACGTGTCATTCCGGCTGTCAGCAGTGGCCTCTAAAATACGTCTTGAGAGATAAATGGATTTGGCCTGACATCCGTTCACTTCTCTTCTTACAGTCGTCAGAAAACTTGGGACTCGTTGACATGAGTGGAATTTTTCTTTCATTTGGATAAATGTGTCACTGTCGGATAGTGTTGTGACAGATGGAAAAATCCTATGTAGGCCACGCAGGAAGGACTGTGAGGAGCCGTTTGGCACAGGGCCTTGATATGAACGTATCTCGCCTCTTAGTTAATTATTTGTATGCACTTCCTGAAAAGAATGTTCCTGTTTGAATAGCTCAGTAGAACAGCTCGGTGGACGCCCATCAGGGGCCAAGCGAGCTGCACCAGGGTTAGAACCCCCTGTGTCTGGCTGGGCCTGAGGGCGGGCGGGGCGGGGGTCGGCTACAGTCTGGGCGACCACCTGACCAGTTCCTGTGCGCTGTGCGCAGCGCCACGGTCCACCCTGGCAAACGGGTGTGGCTGCCGGAACCCTTCCCAAACGGTGCCCCTTTCCCCACTCTAGCCACCTCACCCCGCCGGCCCTGTCGGCAGTGGGATACCTGTTCCCTCTCCCCACCCCTCCACACGGCCCATGGCCAAGCCTGGGCATCCTTTGGGGCGCACCCTGGGGACTCTGTGCTCTCTTTGGGTAGTCAGACCCAGACACGGGTCAAGCAGGGCTCACCCTATCCTGGACCTGTTGTCCAGACCCAGGAACCAGAGAAAGTGCAGCCGCATCGTTCGCCCGCGCTGCTGAGGGAGAAGGAAGGGGGTGGTGAGAGCGAGGGATGCCCAGGCTTCCGGCCCCCTTCGCCGCCGAGCCGACCCGTGTTCACTGTGGCCCACGGCGCGCCCGGGGAACGGGAGAGATGCGCACCTTTTGCCGGTTTCCGCTCCCCGGCTTCCGGCCCGGGTGGTCCTGACTAGTGGGTCCACGCTGCCGGGGTCCCCCAGGAGGGGCAGCGAGGCCCCCCCCTTTCCCTCCCTTCCCCTCCCGGCCTGCCAAGTCACGTGGCCCGTGGCGCCCCCCCATGGGCCAACCACGTGATGGCGGCGCGCCGTTGCCTTGGCAGCGGCTGCGGTAGCCCGCGGGGGCGGGGCAGCCGGCGGGGGCGGGGCTGGGGGGGACCCTGCAGGACGCACGGAAGGAGGGAGGGGGCCGTGCTCAGCGCCCAGGCCTGGCCACGGGGCCACAGGGCAACACGAGCACGCCGCCTGCCGCAAGCCCGAGCCGGAGCGGAGCCGGGCGGGCAGGCAGAGCAGCTCGGTGAGTACTCGCCGTGGGGGGTTGGCGGGGTGTCGGGGGGGGGTACCCCGCCCTGCTGGGGGACCGACCGGAATTGCACCGGGAGACTCGACGGGGGGAGGGGATGGGCTTTCTCCTGGGCAGGCTTGGGATGGGGTGGCTTCGGGGTTGGAGGGTGGCCAGGTGGCCCCAACCCCATGAGATCCTCGGGCGCGGTGCGGCGCTGAGAAGGCTCGGAGGGAGGTCGGGGACGGGGGCTGAATGCGGGTCCTGCGGCTCCTGAGGCTCCCTAGGGGAAGGGACAGAGATGCAGGTGGACGCCTCTGGGAAAACCCTATGGGGGCTGTGCCCCCCCACCCCCCGCGGGTGTGACAGAGACCGAGTCAGAAACAGACTCGCTGTTGCTCATGCCCCAGATGTTTAAGGGAAGTTAAGACAGGCAAACCCCAAACCTACCCCCTGGATCAGACAGGCCTGCCAAGGAGAATAGATCATCTTTAGAGAGTCACCGTTATTCAACAAGAGATTTTTTTCTCTAACCCTTATATATTTAAAAAAAAAAAACAAAAATCGCCTGCAAAGTTTAGCCAGGAGAGCACCTTTTGGAGCCTCTGCCACCTGACAAATGTCTGGCTCCATCTTGCCCCACCCCACCCCCTGCCCCATCCGGGAGTGTGAGGACCAGACTCTGCCTCTCCCCGGGGTAGGGGGAGGAAGCCTGGCACAAGGTAGGACATTGGGGCTGGGACCGTTAGGATGGATATGAATCCAGTTAGGGGCTGCTCCCTGAGCAGGAAGTGGCCTCTCTTATCTCCAGGACCCACAGGCCTGCCTCAAGACCTGGCTCCAAGCAGATGCACAGCCCCCCATCCTTCCACTCCCTGCCACCCTGAGGACATGTGCAGGGCTGAGGCTGCCTGGGCACTACCCAGAGGCCACTGTCTGCCCTCACTGCCCACAAAGCCCTCCATCTCCACTTTCCAACTCGAGCCCAGCCCATGCCCATGGATGGCCCCTGGGCTTCCCCCTTCTTCAGCCCACACATGCCTGTACCCCTTTAGAGGCCCCCAGGCCCTCCTGCCCCTCCCGGTCAGTCAACCGTTTCAGTGGGCACCCAGACCAGACCAACCCCAAGCTGCTCTCCTTACTAGTTCCTTCAGAGTGCCTGCAGCCCGGCGCCTCCAGAGTCCAGCACAGTCCTACCTCCTGGGCTGCCTCCGGTTCCATACACCCCCCGTATCCAACCTTCCCCCCACATTTCCCTGACCCCTTCTGCGGCCAGCCTTCCTGCCATGTCCCCTTGCCTCTCAGAACCCTCCCATGCGGGCACCATCTGGTCTTTGAGGGAGGGCCCATCTTTGCCAGTGCTGCCTTCACTACTTATGTTCTTGCTCCCCAATAGGGACCTTCTCCCTGAGGCTGATGCAGCCTAGCCCCTCCTCTGCTCCCTTGTCCCTCGCACCCCCTCCACTAAAGCAGCAGTTAGCTCCCTGGGTGAGAATCACTCCCTAATGCTGCTTCCCCACTGGGTAGAGTTCCTTGAAGGAACTCACAGGATCTTTGATGCCTAAGTACCAGATGCAGCCTGACCTTGGAGCCCACTAAGCATCTGTTGGATGGAGTTTAAAGGATGGATACTCTGAGGGGCAAAGGTTGTGCCTTTCACGCATCCACACGGCCGTATGCTGTCCTCCAACCTGTCGGCTCACTTCTGTGACACGTGGGAGAAGAAAAGAGGAAAAGTGAATTTTCAAATGATGCCATTCTCAATTATTTGGAGCTAACTGATGGATTAGTTAGCGGCATTTCTCTGGATTCTCCCCGCGGGAAGGGACGTCCTGGTGATGGAAGTGCTCAAAAGCAGCGCCGCTGGCTGCAGACGTGGGCGAGGGCAGAGTGACCACGGCTCTCACGTCGACGTTCCTAGAAATGACCTAGTAATTGGTATCCCCTGGCGGAAATAGCACACAGAACTGTTCTCCAGGGTCCTGTTGGCCAGTAAAAGCTACACTTCTGCAGCCTGGCAGAGAACAGGGAGGAAGGCACCCCAAAAGAGAGAGCTCCTCCCCACCTCCCGGACCTTCCCACAGAACCGTTTTAGAGATGGACGTGGATAGATCCAATTTGGCACGTTCCCACAGCCACTGACCCTGGTAAACAGCCCCCACCCCCACCCCCCCAGCCATGCTCCCTGGGACCTAGGAACACTGATCTGTTCTTAATAGCCTTAAGTAGGCTTTTGGTGGGGCCTATGCGGGCCTGAACGTACAAGTTAATATCTGATGCCAAGTGAGCTGTGAGGTGCCTGTGCCCTTGAAGTCTGCCCTACAGATTAATTAGAGCCGAGCCCAGCGTGCTGCTGCATGGGCCGGCCCCTTGGGCCGCATGAGACCTCCAATCCCCTATTTGGATTAGTGGAGATTTGGGTTTAAATTCACAAATCTTGACAGATTGGCCCTTCTGATCTTCATGCCGTGTTATTGTCAAACTAGATATCTACCTGGGAGGACTGTAGACACCTCTGGCCTCCATTGCTCTGTGGAAGGTGCTCATGTCGGTGGATTCAGTTTTTCCTTTTGCTCACGGTTTCCATCAGAGCCTGGATGTGGCTTTCCTTTAGTTCCAGAAGCCAAGTATTTCTGGAGGTGAACTGCGCCGATTAAAATTCAAGTTGGATTTGAGAAATGAGCCCCAGCTTGGAAATATGTTTTTCATGGTTGGCGCCTGGGCATTGAAAAGCGGTTTTGAGTCTTCGGTTCCGTTATTTTGTTTCCAAGCCCTGTAAGGGTAAGGGTAGGGATGTCCCCATTGGAAGATGCACAGGGTCAGAAAGTTCAGATGTCATCTTCAGGATCACACGCTAGAAGCAAATCCAGGCTTAGTGACTAGGTCCTAGGATTTTTATACATGCTGTAGCTCCCCACTCCTTGAAGATAGGAACATGGAGGATTTCTTAGGTGCTTTTGGCTAACCTTAGAGTTCCATTCACCCACAAGCCACACTTGCTTGGAGCCTTTTTGACGTAGGGATGGAAGGCTGGATCATTAGCTTTGTGGAGGCACAATGGATGCTGGCGGTGATGGTGGCGGGGGGTTCCTGGAAATGCACTCCTGACCCTCCTCCCCAACAGAGGGTCCCCACAATCCTGTGTAGGGATTGGGGCCCCACACTCAACGCTACACCTGGTGTACAGCAGGTCCCAGAGAAGGTTAACTTGCCTGGCGTCTGGCTTTTCCAGGTCTTGGGAACCCTCTGGGATGCCTGAGAGTGTCTCTCTCCTGCCCCCAGCCTGGCTCCCACCATGAGCGCCGAGCTCAACGTGCCTGTGGACCCCTCCACTCCTGCCTGCTCTGAACCGGGCCCCAAGGGCATGGATTACCGAGACTGGGTCCGCCGCAGCTACCTGGAGCTGGTTACCTCCAACCACCACTCCGTGCAGGCCCTGTCCTGGAGGAAACTCTACCTGAGCAGAGCCAAGCTGAAGGCCTCCAGCCGGACCTCTGCCCTCCTCTCAGGCTTCGCCATGGTGAGTGCAGACACGTGGCAGGGCCCTCGGCCTGCAAAGCAGGCTTCTGCTGTCGAGATCCTGTGACACTTCAGGGAGCAAAGCGCTCCCTCTGGGCCCTACTGGCGGTCAGGACAGACCCTTAGGGAGTCTCCCCATGTCTCAGCTCCTCTGAGGGGCCTGCTCCGTCAACTGGAGGGTTTGTCTGGGGGATGCAGGGGAGTCCCCAAGCCCTGGAGGCCACAGAAAGCCCCCTTCTTTTTTTTTTTTAAGATTTTATTTATTTATTTATTTGAGAGAGAGAGAATGAGCAGGGGGGAGAGGCAGAGGGAGAAACAGACTCCCCGCTGAGCAAGGAGCCCAGTGTGGAACTCGATCCCAGGACCCTGGGACCATGACCCGTGCCGAGGGCAGACACCTAACGACTGAGCCACCCAGGTGTCCCAGAAGGCCCCCTTCTGACATTCCCACAAACCAGTTACCTGGCAGGGAAGTCAAGAGCAATTGAAACAGCTTCAGTATACAGGGGGGAAAGTTCCATGTCTGCCTCATCCTGAGCACCACCCAAGAGTGGAAATCTGAAGGATTTGAGTGGGACTGGGATTGATTGGGGTTTGCTCAGGTTAACCCCACTTGGGACGCAGATTGCCCCCCCTCTCCCCAGATGCGGCCTCTTGGTGACGTAGCAGAGCCTCTGGCCTGACTCCTGGCTGCCACGCAGGCTGCAGCTTTCCTCTGAGTCCTTCCCCAGGACAAGATTTGGTCCTGGGCAGAACCACATGCCCTGAGAAGGGCCATGTCACCTGTTGACTCCAAGGCCTCTGACCCACATCCCTTCAGGGAATTGTCCCGAAGGGTGAAGATGCCAGGATTCAGAGTGACCACCCCTCTTTCTCTGTTGTATGCTCAGAGGTCCTCTTGAGTGGAAATAATTTTTTTCTTTTTTCTTTTTTTTAAGATTTATTTTATTTATTTGAGAGAGACATAGCACAAGCAGAGGGAGAGGGAGAAGCAGGCTCCCCACTGAGCAGGGAGCCCAACGTAGGGCTCAATCCCAGGACCCCAGGATCATGACCTGAGCCTAAGGCAGATGCCCAACCGACTGAGCCACCCAGGCGCCCCAATTTTTTCCTTTAATGTAAAAAACAATTGTTATTTTTCCAAAGCCCAGAGCCTCTGTTGTCAGATCAGCAGTACAGAAAATAAGTTGTCAGAGTGAGCCACTGTGGCCAGTCCTGTGGCAGGGGCTTGCTCGCTCGTTGATAGAAGCCACCCTTGGAAAACCGAGAGCCTGCATAGTCTGGGCGTGACGGAGGTCACCAAGCTTAGAGGCAGTAAGTTTGGGTTTAGATCTGTAGTTTAAAGCAAAGGTTTAGTTCAGTGTTGCGTGTATTGATTTACTTATTTTTAACATAACTTCATAAGGGTACAATCATATGGGGCACAACCTTGGCTTATAGTGATTTTCTTCTCGTGGTTTCCGTCACACACACAAAAGATAGAATGCTTTCTCAAGCTTAATTTGAAGGGTATGTATGAGAAGTATAAACGTCACTATGAAAATGAGAGCTTGTTTTCTCCACCACGGAATTACAGGATTGCATTAGGTTTGTCTGGCCTGCTCTTATTATTATTTTTGTGACTCTGGAAAACAAACCGTGGGGAGTATCATGTGACCTGGTGCAGTATGCCGGTTTCCTTTGTGTGGGGGGCCTGGGTCTCAGAAGTCAGTTCCTGTCTGCAGTGTCTGTTTAGACCCTGGCCTTCCAAACACTAGGATCTGCAGACTTAGAGAAGCTTCACTCTTTCCCCAGCCCACAAAAGGGCTCACCCACATTGAAGCCTCCAACACTACTCATTTAAAATTGGAAAACGGGCCCTGTTCATCAGGTTATAAAACATAGAGCAGTTTCTGGAGGACTAGTGTGAGATCGAGGGGCAGCCCGCAGGGGCATGAAGTGGTCTTAGAATGAAAATAGTGACCACAGAGAGACAGGCATGGGAGGGCCCGGATGTGCCCCACAGGGTGCTGTCTGTCCCTAGCTTGGCGATGGCGGTCACTCTTGCCAGTAAGAATTCCTTTCTTCAGCATTTACGGAGTGTCTCCTCTGCCTGCACGTGCTCCCTTACACAGTCTGGGATACATTTCAGCAGCCGTACAGTGCCCTCGCCTTGCCTTCTAGAAGGTTCCTCTCAGGGAGGCTGCTACAGCCTAATACGCATCAGAGATTCAGCCGAAACGGGGGTGGGGTGGGGCAGGGGGGCACTGGAGAGCAGTAGAAAGCGTGGAGAGCAGGGGTGGGGGGACAACAGCAGCGTGCGCACTTGACCAGCGTAACCCGCTGCTGGTAGACCGGGTCATGATTCATCAGACAGCGGCTCAGCGCCGGAGAAGGCCGACGCACGCAGACACCGTGGCCGACTGAGGGGCAGGGCTAAACGGAAATGAAAACAGGCACTTTGCTAGGTGGAGTCCCTCCCTTCATGTTATGTATCCCCTAATTAGAATTGCAAAGCTGTTTTTTTGTCCAACAACAAGCACTTATGCCCAGCCTGGAGCCTGTTTCTTCATGTTTATCCTTCTGCAAACACACAGAACCAGTGATCCGAGGCCCCTTCATAAAATCTTTACATAAACACACTGACAAATGGCCTTTTGGCCCCTTTCTCTCCTGAAGGCTGAACAAAACTTTCTTACTGTAGGTCTTTTACTTATGTTTGTTTCTTACCTCAGCACCCGCTGTGGTTTACAACCTCCTTTTGTTGAACCATGTCCTTTGTGGTAACAAGAGCCTCCCCAGGCCGCAGGAGCACTGAGAAAAGACCATCCCTCAACTCGTACGGTATGGCGACTGTCTGTATGGAGCAATGATCACTGCCAAGTTTCTGTTCAGCTGTGGTCCACCAGGACTCCCGTATCTTCTTTTTACCTACCGAAATGTTCCATCTCTGCTGAGAGGTTGAATTTCTCACTCTAGGAGGCGGTAGTTGCTACAAGTTGTGAAATCTTTCTTGTAAAATTTTAAAAACGGGATGGCTTAGATCTAGGAAGCACACACAGTGGGTGGAAAAGCCTTCCTCTGGCTTCTTTCTGCCTTCCTTCCCCTTTCCTTGACTGGTCTGGTTTCTTACCTCTGGGTACCTGGGAGAAGGTGGTGAGCCCTGGAGTCCTTGCTGGGCCTGGACTAAACAGCCCCCTGGGGGAGGGGGGGGGGACCCAGGCCACCCGAGGGAGCCATTCTGCGTGGACTGGGTTCCGCCCTGGGGAAAGTAAGGCAGGAGAATGTTTCCTAGTCTGTAGTTTGAATGCCCTTTAGGCCTTGTGCTGAGCAGGTCCTGCCTTGCTGGCTATAGACCTTCACTACCACAGAGATAGGCTGGGGCTTCGGGTTCCCACTGGAGATCCATCCATTGATCTATCGATATTTATTTATTTACTTATTTACTTACTTATTTACTTATTTTAAGATTTTATTTTATTTATTTGACACAGAGAGACACAGCGAGAGCAGGAACACAAGCAGGGGGAGTGGGAGAGGGAGAAGCAGGCTCCCCGCCGAGCAGGGAGCCCGATGTGGGGCTCGATCCCAGGACCCTGGGATCACGACCTGAGCCGAAGGCAGACGCCCAATGACTGAGCCACCCAGGCGCCCCTTATTTATTTTTGAAGATTTATTTATTTATTTGTGAGAGAACGCGCGCACACACATGCGTTGGGGGGAAGAGTGGAGGGAGAGGGAGAATCTCAAGCAGACTCCCCTGAGTGTGGAGCCTGGATGCGCGGCTCTATCTCAGGACCCTGAGATCACCACCTGAGCCGAAACCAAGAGTCAGATGCTTAACCGACTGTGCCACCCAGGCACCCCTTTTTCTTGTATTTTAAAACTAGTCTGGGGGGCTCCTGGCTGGCTCAGTAGAGCATGTGACTCTTGATCTAGGGGGCGTGAGTTAAAAAATGTTTTTAGTTAAAAAATAATAAAAACAGTTTCTGCCGAAGTTAATACATGCTCGCAGCTTACGAAGGAAGGAAGCGCCTGGAGGCTGGTAAGCAGCCCTGGTCCCCGCCCAGCAGCAGCGCCTGCAGGCCCCTCCTCTCTGAGTAACTTTCTCCAGACTGCTGTTTCTAGATTTATCCATTTCAGGCCTTACCTATTGGCCTTGTCTCCGTGTGACTGTGGGTGATGACTCAGCTCCCTGCGCAGCCCAGCCCCCCTCGGCCCCCCCTCACCTCTGCCCTCATTCCTGTCACCGTTCCATGCGGGCTTCTCCCTGGGGCGTCTGGACTCCTCTGCCAGATGCACCCTGTGGTCCGCGTGAGGCTGTCCAGGTGGGCGGCTCTGAGTCTGGGGGCTGCCAGGAGCCCCCGGTACTACTTTTCTCTTGTTACCCTTTGAAAGGTTAGTTTTTTACTTTTTTTAAAGTATTGTATAGATTTTGTTTATTTGACAGCGAGAGAGCACAAGCAGGGGGAGCAGCAGGAGAGGGAGAAGCAGGCCTCCAGCTGAGCAGGGAGCCCGATGCGGGGCTCGATCCCAGGACCCTGGCATCATGACCTGAGCTGAAGGCAGACGCTTAACCGACTGAGCCACCCAGGCGCCCCATTTTTTATTTTTTTTGAAAAACAGCAGTTGTTTGGTGCCTAAGCCAAGCCCACAGGTTCCTGGGAAGTGTGGCCTCTGTCCTGGCTCAAAGCCTGGCACCCCAGGAAACCCCTGTGTTGGCACCGGGAAGGCCCCTGGGGTGGGGGTGGGGGTGAGGCCCTCCATTCCCCTCCCTGTGCTTTAATCCTTCGAGATCCTTCCTCAGTGAGATGTTCTTTGGCTCCTCAGAAAATAGGAGAAGCTGAAGTGTGGGAATGGCGAGGCGGGTGCCCCCTGCCCTGCGCAGGCCCAGGACGGGGCGCCCCGACCCAGCCCCGCCCGCTCTGCCCCGCAGGTGGCCATGGTGGAGGTGCAGCTGGAGACGCAGTACCAGTACCCCCGGCCACTGCTCATCGCCTTCAGCGCCTGCACCACGGTGCTGGTGGCCGTGCACCTCTTCGCCCTGCTCATCAGCACGTGCATCCTGCCCAACGTGGAGGCCGTGAGCAACATCCACAACCTCAACTCCATCAGCGAGTCACCGCACGAGCGCATGCACCCCTACATCGAGCTGGCCTGGGGCTTCTCCACCGTGCTAGGCATCCTGCTCTTCCTGGCCGAGGTGGTGCTGCTCTGCTGGATCAAGTTCCTGCCTGTGGATGCGCGCCACCAGCCCGGCCCCCCGCCCGGCCCCGGCGGCCACACGGGCTGGCAGGCCGCCCTCGTGTCCACCATCATCATGGTGCCTGTGGGCCTCATCTTCGTGGTCTTCACCATCCACTTCTACCGCTCCCTGGTGCGCCACAAAACCGAGCGGCACAACCGCGAGATCGAGGAGCTGCACAAGCTCAAGGTGCAGCTGGACGGGCACGAGCGCAGCCTGCAGGTGGTGTGAGGGCGCGGCGCCCCGGGCCCAGGCCAGCGCCCCCGCCCCGGGGCACAGCATGGAGGTGGGCCACCGCCGAGGCCGCCCCGACACTACCATGTGTTTCGAGACCAAAGTCTTACCCCCTGTCTTCACGCTGGAAAACCTGGCTGGGTGGTCCTCCCGCAGAAATTGGAAATCTGTAGTAAAAAGAGAGACTCTGTTGCTAAGAGCTGAGACCAAAAAAAAAAGCCTGAGTCCTGGGGCCTGGGGATTTCCTGCGGCAGGAGAGGGGGCTTCGAGCAGCCCCCGGGCGTCCCGGGCAGTCTCAGTGATGGGGGGGGGGGGGGGGGGGGGGGGCAGAGGCCGGCAGGGGAGGGCTGAGGGTTTCAGAGAACTGATGGCCCTGTGACACCCGAAGTGGGTCTCAGCGTGCCACCCTCTGTGACTAGATGGAGTGCAGGCCCACGGCTTGGCCTGGTGCTTCCCTCCCCTGCCCTGGGGGGATTAGGTGGCCGGGCTGAAGGAGGAGAGGCAGGAGCCGGGGTCCCAGGTCTGCTCAGCAGGCGTGGTGGGTGCTCAGCCGGGCATCGGACTGGTCTGGCCCTGGGGAAGACTTCCAAGGATGGAGGCCTGGCAGGGCTAGGGAGGCACGTCTGGGGGCGTCCCGTGTGAGATGGAGGGGGCGAGGGTGTACTCTGGGGCACACTGGGCTCAAGTTCTTTCTTCCTAGCCATCCTGGAGCCCTGGTCACGTTGACACAGCAAAGCCACCAGGTTGGGGAAAGGGCCCACAGTCCAGAGGCCTCGATCTTTGGGCTACAAAATGGCCTCTGAGCCCACATCGGCTGCCCCTCCGGGCTATGGCTGCCAAAGGTACTTGCCCAGAAAGCAGAGTGTGCTTCCTGTCTCCCTGCTGCCTGTGACCCCAGGAGGTGGGAGGGCGCGGCCTGGGGGACTTTCTGTCCAGACAAGGCCCATTGGCCTGACCTGGCCAAATGCAAGTCCTGCGGAGTAGCAGCTGCAGGGAGGGCGAGATCCCCAATCCTCTCGGCCACACGCAGGGGCTCAGCTCACACATTTCCACAGCCACGTACATACATCCTATGGCTCAGCTTAGGGGCGAGCATGCCACACCCCGAGCTGCTTTTAAAACCCATGTTTACCACATCGGCCAGTGGCAGCCTAGAGAGGGAGCCTTTCTCGTTTCCGTCCTCGGACGTCATGCTCTGATGGCATCTCTGTGGACAGCTTACTCTCTCTCTGGGGTCTGGGGTGCCTGTGCTGAGAAATCCTGGCTGGCCTAACTGTGGCTCCTGGGGATGTGATGCACTGAGGACAGAAACCTTAACACACAACCAAAATGCCGCGGGGCTGTCTGGGAGGCGCGCTGGGAGTCGCCGTTGTAAGTCGGGACATTATGGGAGCCTGGACATCGGGTTCCGTGGAGCCAGACGAGAGCCTTCCACGGGGCGCGGTCCTGGCATTCTGCAGAGCTGTCATTGCTTGCTTGCTCTCTCTAGTGCGTGTCTCCTCTCCTGGAGCCTTGTCAAGAAGGCTTGTCTGGCTTCGTATGTATTTGCTTTGTGTCAGTGTCACTGAAAGACGGCCACTCTGTGTCCTGGTGGGGGCGGGACGGGCTGGCTCCTCCCCACAGCTGGGAGTGGACAGCAGGCCCTTCCTCCCGCCTGAGGCTTCGGAGAGGGGCTGTGCTGGCCTCACTTCCCCATGCCATCTGGTGCCCCTGCCCCAAGTGCGCCAGACGTGCGAGCCCCCCTGGACTGGAAAGCGCCCCCCAGTGCCGGCAGGGTCCGGTTGTTAATGTCTGCTCCGCCTCGGACTGGCCGCTGGGTGACTCGTGACAGTGCCACGTGGGTAGCAAAGACACCACATCCCGTGTTCTTAAGGCTGATTGAAGAATTCTTGGTCTCTTTCATCTAGAGTCTTCTCCCAGCTCCCAGAGGCATGGGACAAGCGGAATTTCTGTGGAACAGAGAGGACCATGGGTCTGGGGATGGGTGGCCCAGTGGGGAGTCTCAGGGCAGCCCCAGGGCTTTGGGGGAGAAGGAGGAGCGGCTGCTATTTGGAGCTGCAGACACAACTCAGCACGGAGGGTGGGGGAGGGGGAGGGCAGCTGCCGAGCTGGAAAGGCAGTTTCTGGAGGTTTAACCTGGCTGTGAAGTGTTCCTGGCGCCCCGGCCACTCTGGGTGAGCCTCCGCGCCCGCTGCCCGGAGCCAGTGAGGGCTCGCTCTAGTTTCCTCTGAGCAGGGCCTTCCCGGTGCTCACGACCCGAGCGCCCGCAGATACGCCGAGGCGCTTTCCAAAGTGGAGCACGGTCTCCATTTAGTACCTGGCCAGAAGTTGCAGAACTCAAGTGATTCTATTTTAGAAACTGCAAGGGCAGAGTGTATTCTGGTGTCTTCTAGGAAAGTCTTGTGAGGCGTGAGTCTGAGTGCATCAGGGCTGTCGCGCACTGATTAACTCATTGTGCATGACACCGGAGATCACAGATGGTGAATGCAACACCTGTCCTGTGTGTGGGCTTTTCAAACAGTTGCTCGGGATTGAACTGAATAAACAAGTAAATCCGTGGCGCGCCCTCTCTGCTCTTGGCGGAGCACGGTGGCCAGAGGTGACAGGGTGGCTGGAAGTGACGGGTGGGAGCCCCTGGCGCTTCCCCAGTGTTTGCTGCCTCCGGGAGGGCAGACTGCTTCTCCTGAAATCCCTCCTGTCTCTTCTGAATTGCTGGTCACGGGCCTCGTGTCTTAACAGGCTTCCCAGGCGAGGGGGTGACTCCTCTGGAATGGGCAGGCAGAGTGCTCAGACCCAGACATGCTGGGAGGCTCCTTCCAGGTGGGGCCCCAAGAGAACTGGGCGTCTCTGCCTGCTGCCTCCCTTCCCTTCCCCAGCGGGGCTCCCCCTTTCCAGAAACACAGCAAGGGACAGCCCTGCGGGTGGCTGAGCGCCAACAGAGCCCATCTGACCAGGGCCAGCTTGAAGGTCCCCATCCATACCCTCCAGGTGAGGAGCCACTGAAGCTCTGGTCCTTCGGTGGCGCCTTCTCCATCCCAGGTACCTGTGGCTCTGGGGTTAGGACAGGGAATCCCTCCCACATCCTAGTGACACGAGAAGCTCCCAGACATTCTGTTTTGTAACTGTTACCCACTGAGGCCCCTGTCTAGGAAAGGATTGTCTGCCTTCTATTATTTTTAACTTGCAGGCACTTCAACCTAGAGGCTCCTAGGAGTCGGGTGTGCAAACATGGACAAGTTCTGCCAATCCAGCAGGGGCCCACCTGCCTCTGCAGCCAGGGAGGAGGACTTCCCAGGCCCCCGGATGTAAAGGAGGGCTGAGTTCTGCACAAAGCCCGGGTCCAGCAAGCCTACTGCATGGACCATTCCCCAGTGAGTGCAGCCAACTCACAGAAGCCTCAGTCGTGACTCACATGCCTCCAGAAGGTGGAGAGGGAGGGTCCACAGAAGCCTGGGTGGGGGCCGTAGGGCGAGGGGCACAGGACTGAGCCGCCATTCCTCGCTAGGCCCATTTAGAACCTGCTGACCCCTTCCCAGCCCTGATGTGTGCGCCGCCCCCCCCCCCCGTTACTGGGGACACAGTAAGTATAGACAGGTTCCACATGCATCTCAACAGGAATAACCCAGAGGATGCTTCTCAGACTGAGCTCCACATCCTCCTGCCTGTTGGGACCAGCCTGGGCCTCCCTGCCTCCAGGTCCAAACAAATAAATGGGCCTGAGTTTCCTTAACATCCTTCAAAGCAGGACAGGCCATTGGCTGCGCGCTCCCTGACTCTAAGAGGATGGTGCAGGAAGCCAGCCTCAGAGTGGAGGCTTCTGTGTTAGTAGGTTCCCCTAAGACCCATCACTCCTCGTAGTTGGAGGCCGCCAGAGCATCGGGACAGAACGGTCCGCAGAGCGTACGTCTGGTGTTGACGCAGAGCATGCGAACGCAGTAACGGCCACCTCAAATACTGGGTTGAGCAGCCATCATGCCCCTCAGCCGGTGGCTGAGCCCCCCAGCCTGGCCCTCTCCCAGCCCCATCCCGGTTGGTGACACGAGCAGCGGATGCAGAGGTGGGCACACTGAACCTGATGGTCTTCATGTTGTAGCTGCAGGGACAAACCCAACTTAGGGTCACCGACTTGGCCGTGATGATGATGCAGCATGTCCCGAGGTGTGCTCTGGGGACCGTATGGACCATGGCATGGAGTGTGTCCCAAGGGGCACTCTGCGGGGCTGTAGGAAGGGCCCACTGTCAAATGTCTGGCAAGCACTGGGTGATTCTGGGGGCAACAGGCTTCTTTGCTGAGTGGCTCTCCCCCACAGGTCTGGGTGTGCAGCGTTTCCCACATGGACGTGTTGGCAGAGCATCCTGCGGGCTCCACACGCAGGGGTGCTCTAAGGCCCAGCCTGTCAGGGCAGAGGCTCCCACAGGCCCCCATGGAGCAGACCACCAGGCTTGCAGGCCCACTAAGCTGTTCACATGCAACAGGACTGGCTGGAGCTCCAGGGAGGGACCGAGAGCAGGGTCCGTGAGGGTCACAACCGTGGAAGGAAGCCGTCCTCCACCCTCCTGCTCCAAGTGAGCTGACTCAGGGAGCCACCCGCTGTGCAGCTGGGCTCAATTCAGCCACTAGAAACCCAGGGGCCTCTCCATGGGTCTCCAGAGTGATGCCACTTCAGAGACAGTGCATGGTGCACCGCCAGTGACTGCCCCGCACAACCTGACAGCTCACAGAAGGTTCTAGAATGACTGAAGACCAGTGCGGACCATGAACGTTTCTGGGCTCTGATGGGGCCCTGGTCCAAAGGTTTGGCGCTGAGCATGTGGCTGGTGAGCATATTTGGTCTTATGCGCAGAGGGCTGGCCGCCATCCAGGTGAGCACCCCATACAGCACCCGTGTCAGAAGTCCCCCTACTTTTTCACAGCATGGGGCAGGGAGGGAGGTGGGACCAGACTCTCCGGAGATTCCCCGGTCCTCACTGCCCCCCATACCCCCCGGGGGTCAAGCCTGACCCAGGCAGAGCCTGACGCAGAGATGGGCACC